GTCGAGTCATAAACAAGTCAACCTAACTGACCCGTTTATTAGATGGGTAAATTAGGGTTGACCCGAACTAACCCGTGTAACCCAATACTGACCCGTTTATTTCTAAATGGGTTGCAAACTGCAAATATGAAGATCATCTTCATCCTCTTCATCCTCCTCCTTCTCTTCTCTCTCCTCTTCCTTCGACCCCCAGTTTCCCACCATGTCCAGCATCTGCGGCGCGGTCGGCCTCGTCTCGGCCCTCATCGACAGCGAGCCAGCATTTCAACGGTAAAGATCGCTCGCGGTTCCACTCGTACAAACAAGATCGGAGGAGGATAAGGGGAGGTCGGAGAAGGGGAGGAAATGGGTGCCCGACGTGCTCTGCGACCTAGCGAGCTGCGGGAAGCTGGAGAACCTGTCGCTGTCGGGGAACTACTTCACCTCGATGGGGGAGAGCTGCTAGGATCTGGTTAAGAGCGGAGCTCTGGATCTTAGAAGGAACTACTTTGCGAGGTTGAAGGGTCAAAGGTCAGCCTTGGAGTGCGCAGGTTTTTTCTAAAGCCCAGATTCTGTCCGGTTTTGACCTTTATGTCGTTCGAGGATCAGAGGGATTGGGGGGTTCGTCGGAGTGAGGTGACGACCAAAATGGCGGGGACTGTGGTTTATAATGCTGTGAATAAGCAGCAACCTAATCCTTAATTAGGATTGTTATTAAAAGGGTCAATCTCTTGTACAATCTATGTAGCAGTATTGCATATTTTGACTCGTGATTGTCGAAAGAGTCAAAAAGAATTTCATCTTAATCTATATAGTATCCACGATATTGAACTGAGATTTGATAAACGGGTCATTCGGGTTATATGGGTCGGGTCGGGTAACACGTTTAATAAACGGGTCGGATCGCATTGACTCATTTGTTAAACGGGTCAGGTCGGGTCATACTTGTATGGGTTGGGTCAACTATGACCCTACCCGACCCAACCCGACCCATTTGCCACCCCTAATTAAATGTTAACATTAGGATTGTCTTTATATGTCGGCAGCATATTGGGCAAAAAAGAGCTTTTGCCACTTTTAGATGTATCTTTCTTCGCATCAACTACTCGGACGTACAGACAGAATTTTTTCAAAAGAATCATGCCAGGTATCATAGTTAAGAATCCCAAATAATAGATCTAAAGGAAATTGAAAAAAGGATAGCAAAGACATAGTTCATACAATATTTTTGAGGGAAATGGTTAGTACAATTTTAGTAAAGAAATACTTATATAGAAAAAAACTTAAACATCGGTAAAATCATATATATTATTAGATGGATGTACATTGGATAGAAATTATGTTGATAGCAAGACAAGAATTCATCTTGAAATGGATCCACATTTCTATGATTTGAAATTCACAGAATTTAGCATCTTGCATTAGTGACGAATTCAAATTCAACATATGCCCAACCCAAATAGTTAAAGCAAGAACAGAACAAACAATATACATGAAGCAAAGAACGACGACAGTGGCACATTTCCTACCAATAACACATCTAGCTTTATATCTAATTCTTTAGTGATAACCATCTCATACAGATTTTACTACTAACCTGAAGCTTCCGGATTCTTTGTAGTGCACTTTTGTATGCCAAGAGAGAATACCAAGATCCAATACCCAAATTCATCAAAACAGTGGAATCAGTCAAATCCCTCTGTCAATGATTACACATGCAAGAAGTATAGTATCACTTTACCAGAATGAGACACTAAGACGTGTTTTTTGAACTGTGATATAGCACTAAACTTCACATTAGGTACTCCTCAAGAACCATGAATAAAGATAGAAAAGTAAATGATACACACCTACATACGAGAGATAGGCATTTTCGAGCTGAGAGCAGATAAAATAGCATTAGCCAAACACAAGTTACCCTCACTATTCTCAAAATCAATGGGATTAACTTTATGAGGCATAGTTGAAGATCCAATCTCCCCAACCTTGGTCATCTGGAAAGCAAAATTATCATAAAATCGTTTAGTTTGGATCTATTCTTCGTTTGTTCTGCATTGGTTTGTTAGCGTTTGAGGCTTGTTTGAAAGGGTCTATGAAAGGATTCCTATTTGAAGAGTTAGATCGACAACATGGGTGCAGGAAGAACATCTGGATTATCTCTTACGAAGATGATACATAGTTTGAGCATCAATAACATGAAGATCGATGTTCCGAAGTTTGATGGCAAAATCAATTTCGGTTTGTGGAGATGCCAGGTGATGGAAGCATTGGACGCACAGAATTTTGAAGATACTCTTGAGTTGCAAGAGAAACCTGCTGATATGGAAGATATGATTTGGAAGAAGATGAATAGTAGGGCGTGAGAGTTATTCGGTCATGCTTGACATTGGATCTTATTTATGATGTGATGAATAGGTTTTATCAGTTCAAGATGAATGTATCTTACTAAGAGCATTGAGAATTGATTTTACTTGAAGAAGAGGTTTTATCAGTTCAAGATGAATAGTGGAGTTTCCATTAGGGAGCATGTTAACAACTTCACGAAGCAACTTTCAGACATGGCCAATGTGGATATCATGGTGGAGGATGAAGACAATGCGATGTTACTTTTGTGTTCATTACACGAGAATGATTATGGTACCTTTGTTCATACTATAATTAATGGAAGAACTACTGTTAGCTATAAGGAGGTTACCTCAGCATTGGTAGAAAGGTAACTCAATGTTCTTATGGTAGGGGTTCTTTCTTACATTTATACCGAGCTCACGGCAATAGGAGACACTTCATTGGTGTGGAAACTTTGAGGCAACGTGATGAGATGGCAGATTTGGGAAGCTATTGCTTTCTGGAGGAGGATAGGTGTTTGATGTCGAGCATTGGCATTGGTGTGCGGGCTACGACATGTTTGGGTCGTCTTATGTAAAGGTTGCCGACTGCTGCATATAGAGATATGGGATTTGGTGGAGCTGCTTCAGATTTTGGGTTGCGTCGGATGTTTGGCTACCCAACACTTGGTCACATCATAGATATGAGATTTGATCCGATAGTATATTTAGGATTCAGAGGCATATTTCATTATCAGGTATTATCTTTTGACTTTGTTCTGAGCAGGTATGTCATGTTTGACTCTCGGCAAGTGGAGAGTGATGATCAGATCATTAGGACATCGCAGAGGGTGGAGAGTGATGCTACTCCATGTTGGATGGAGACTCCAGATCATACTGCATCATTTAGGATTCCAGCTGATGTGACACAGATTGGGAATCGTGTTGATTTGGATGCAGATGATTGGTTGATTTATTCGAGTGCAGCTGATAGATATAGTCTGGATATGGCCATTGGTTCATCTCAGGTAGAGATGTTTGGATTGTTTTAGTTTAGGGCCATTAGAGGTGCTTTCAGCCATAGACTTAGTCGTAATGTTGGAGAAGGGTTGCGAACTCTTCTAGCGGATTGAGGCCTTTGGAGGCCGTTTTGGTGAACTATGTGAAGGGTTGATTCCTTGGGCAAGAGGATACGTAGGCAGTCAGTTTTGATGCAGCTGATTTGGTGAATAGATATGACGTTTGGAGAGTGTTCGCATTCTCATTTGGGTATCGACTTGTTATGGATTGAGTCCGTTGTCGTGAAGGGTTTCCATGACGTCCTGGACACAACAAGTAGGACATTTAGTTTGGTTGGTGTTGACTCAATTTTGGGAAAACTTTGCCGAGGTGGAGAATTGTGGAGAAATTTGGGAAATTCAAGTTTTTGTGTGTTTTTTGTAAATTCTGTGTCATAAGTTGACTCATGCACAGGCATAAGTCGACTTATAGTAAGCCGACTATAAGTCGAATTACGTTCTGCTCTGGAATTGTTGTTTTTTGGCTCTGGCAAGTCGACTTATAGTGTATGTTAAGTCGACTTATGAAGTGTTCTCCAGTTAGTGTTTTTTGCTCTGCCAAGTCGACATTGTGGCCTCTATTAAGTCGACTTACGACAAGTTTGTTAGCCTTTATATTTTGATGATGTTTTACAACCACCATATCGGTACTAATTGCTAATTGAGTGAAAATGTAGTGAATACATATATCAAGCATGTTAGTGCCATTAATGGAGGATTGGATGGAATATGCGCTACAACGATGATATCCAAAGGAGGAGGAGGCATAGTGATGAAGCAATGTTATTTAAAGAACAACAAATTCATATAGAAGCTTCATCCAACTCAAGCTATATCAAGACTCAAGAATTGTATTCTATATGAGGATATTAGCTAGTTTTTATTTTCTCTCTAGTGCTAGAATGTAGGCAAAGAGTTATCGATTTCACTTGAAGCTATTGGGATATCACACACACATTTTCATACTTATGTTTTTAAGCGTTTTTCATAAAATACTATTTCTTACAAGTATGAGGACCTATTTGCAAAATTCCTTTTTTAAACAATTTGTTTTTAGTATTAAAAACATTTTACAAAGTTTCACAATTTTCAGAAGTCAAATGAATATTTTACAAATTGTTAAAGTGTGTCAAAATCAGTATTTTGAAATGTATCAGAATGCGGTCGACCGGACCGGTCGACCGCACCTGTGTTTAGGGGTGGCAAACGGGTTGACCCGACCCGACCCGACCCATATATAATTTGACCCGACCCGTATAAGTATGACCCGACCCGACCCGTTTAATAAATGGGTCAATGTGACCCGACCCGATTATTAAACGGGTTACCCAACCCGACCCATATAACCCGAATGACCCGTTTATCAAATACAAGACATATCCTAACACATAACTAGTAAAAAAATTATACATATACAACTCTTGCAAGCTCTTTAGACAAAAACTATCACCACTTACAACATGGAGTTATTTCAGAGACATACTCAGTATTTAAATGTACTTCAACGAATTGCAAATATCGACAAACAAAAATACATTGATTTTGCTCTTTAGACACAGAATAATCTAAACTAATAACTAGCAACACAAAATTTAACACAAGTAAATAAAGAGAATATACATAAGTTTACAACAAAATAGTTAGGAACTTGATTGCCATTATCATAGTCCATCTCCAAATTTACAAAAAATGCAATTACAATTTATAAAAAAAGTAACTGTCCCATCTCCAAATTTACAAAAAATGCAATTACAGTTCACAAAAAATTTAACTAAGCCATCTCCAAATTTGAGTCAAAAAATTCATTCTCAGAGTGAAGGCGATGCCCTTGGCGGCGGCGAGGGTAATGACAGAGCATGATTCCCAGTTTAGTGGAGTGCGGCCGGATCCTCTGTTGCCTCCTCTGTTGCCTGCAAAGATTGAGGAGAGAATTTTTATGGAAGCCAATGCCAGTTTCCTAGAGTTGTAAAACAAAAGGACTATGAGATGATAGTAGAATGTCCTCAATGCGTACTGGAAATATACGTCATATCCCACAATGGAAAGGAAGGGAAGACGATTGAGGTTAGCTGCTCATTGAAACAACACCTACAATGAGTCAAACCAATCCCTATAAATTCTAACACATGTTTACAGTGAAAGAAAATCAATTATGATGTTAATGCATGTATTCTCCTGTTTAATTGAGAAAAAAAATTCATCTAACAGACTATAAATACTCATATAAACATCTCATCCAAACATGAAATGAAAAAGTTAGACTATCAATGAAAAAGTTCTACTATAGGCCACAATTTCATCACTGCTTATAGACAAATCTTTTTTTAGCTACTCGGGGATCAATAATTGCCTGAAATATAACAATGTAAGGCTAACTTAAGTACTTAATCCCCACCCCCACTAAAACGCAATGAACATAGACATAAATTTTAGTTACAAATGATTTTGTTTATCCCACAACATGTGGCTAAGTGGCTTTGTGTTTTAATCCTGTGAACATGAAATGAAGATAAACTGCATTCATCCAGTTCAAAAATCAAACAACTTAGAATGAATATATTCACAAATCAAGCATGTGAAATATGTGTAGATCCAACACATCCGCCAAGATCACAAGTAGACAACATATAAGAAAAATCTTATATCAAGCTGACAACATTGAACCATGTTTATTGAGTTCTGTTCACAGCCACACAAAAAGCCAAATAACTTATGCAAGGAAGCCCTTGAAGCTCATCCAAACCCTTCTATTCCCAATCAGAACACCAACGTGAAAAACTAACACCAAAACTACATTGATCAAATATACACCATTGTCAGCAACATTTGTCACATGAAAAAGTTTAAATAACACTTAAACTAACACCAAAACAACTTTCTCTACGAAACTAAAGGCCACCACATCTATATAAACTCCATTTTCTATAAATCTACCATTCTTTGATAATTGTAATGTAAACAATACAAAATGTCTTTCAGCCGAACCAGGACTACGTATTCTCGACCTCCAATGAGCATTGTTATCGGAATTTGAAAATTTTCACACTTTTTTCAGTATTACTCCAAAATACGGCAGGAGGAAACTTTCATTGCCAGATACTTACATGCTACACTTACTAGTAAGTTCAAGTCATGGGAATGGTTTCATCCTCAGTTGATGCTGGTTTCTTCCCATAGTGCTGCTGAAGGTAAACAAGGCCAACGTTAAAACATATTATACCACTAAAGCGAAGAATAAAACAGAGAGCAGGACTCACAAGAAGCTTCAAATACCTGCTTTCCAGTAGAAAAAGGAAGGTATTTGTATGTGATCATGTGACGTATGCAACCCTTCATTGTGATAGCAAATATCCCAGAAAAGTAGACTACGAGAATAGGCCAAAATACAGGAACATCAAAGACGTCGAAGAATGTCAATGTTAAAGCAAAAGTAGACTACGAGAATAGGCCAAAATACAGGAACATCAAAGACGTCGAAGAATGTCAATGTTAAAGCAATGCAGAAGGCTTTTGTGATCGGAAAATACAGGAACATCAAAGACGTCGAAGAATGTCAATGTTAAAGCAATGCAGAAGGCTTTTGTGATCGGGTACCTGCGGAGATAAAAACAGCAGGTCCTCTATCGATAACTACTCAACATTCACTATAAACAATGATATTAGGTTACCACTAGTAAGAATTATGACATAAACAATGATGTTTACTAAGTTTACCACTAGTAAGAACCAAATTTATAAATTATGCAAAATTACATAGAATGGATTTTTCCACATAAACACACATACATGAGATGTGTTTCAAAGCAGGTAAACACAAAAAGTAGATCTTCAATCAGAACAATCGCAATTAGTTTGTGAACTTAATTGAAACTTTTATATAGTACTATCATGCATCAAACGTTTGGCAGCAAAAACTTTTTATATAGTTCTAAATTTCGTTCGACAGTAAGAAGTAACATCAGCTGCAGAGTGCCGAAACTCAAGAATTTACATGTAAAAACAATAAAAACTAAGAGATATAACACAATGTGGAAGTTGCAAGAAATTATACACATACAAGATATAAATACATGCAAAAACAATAAAAAACTAAGAGATATACTAATTACTTGAGAAAGAAATTACCCTCAAGATATCAATGCAATCAAAAATCTTGTTTCGAGTAGAAGTTTCTGAATCCCATGAGATACAATAACACATATGTTTAATTAAATTTTCTATATATGCCCAAATGATTAACATTTACAGTACTGCAACATGTGATTAACTTTTCTGAATCCCATCTGCTGAATATGATCACCCAATCAATGATATGCATTTGATTACTTATTAGAGAGAATATATCATAGAAAAGTGCGACATCGAGTAATTGTTGTATCCTAACATGAAGTTCAAAAATAAATCTAAATCCGCTAAATATGAAAATCACTGGGAATGTGATATTACACGATTAATGCAGAGAAAAAAAAAGGAAATTCAAAATAGAACTAATCCACCATATGCCAGAAACAATAAAAATATAAATAAATAAATGAATACCTAAGGCTTCAAAGGTCATCATCTTAAATTTGATTGGGAAAAAAAAGGACTAAATAAACGCATCGACAATATCACCTGAAGTTAGATCACCGCTCGAGAGGAGAAAGAGGATCTAGGGTTCGAGGATCTAGGCCGCTCGTCGCTTGAGCTTCGTGAGGATCTAGGGTTTTTCTTTCTTCTGCAGCTTTTCTTTTTTTTTCTTTCTCTAGAGCGGCGCGCTTACGAGGGTCGAGGGAGTGAGCGAACGAAGGTTGATACACGAGTCGGGATTTTTGTTATATGGGTCAATAGGTCAACCCGAATTGACCCATTTAATAAATGGGTAAATTTGGGTTGACCCGTTTATGACCCGACCCATATAATTCTACCCATACCCATTATAAATGGGTCGGGTCGGGTCGGGTTGATGGGTCGGGTTATAAATTGCCACCCCTACTGGTCGACCGCTGCGGTCGACCGAGTACTCAAAATTTCTATCGGTCGACCGCACCGGTCGACCGAAGAAGTCTCTGTTGTCTTCTCGTTTTCAGAACTGGCTCGTGGTCGACCGTAAATTCTGTCGGTCGAACGATGGACTTTTTCAACGATCTTTTAGCATGGGTTCCTATGCCGACTGTACACGATCTTTGGCACAGTCTGTTAGAAGATTGTTTCTTCTTTGGGGAGATTAGGTTATGATTTTGAAATAGGTGGTTTCTCCTATTTAAACCCATACCCTTCTTCTTCCTCAGTGTCCAAGCTTTTGCAAAAAACAGAGACGTTGTTTTTCCTAAGCAAAATTTTAAAACCTGTTCTTCTTAGTTTTGTGTATGTTCACTTCCCAGCTTCAGTGTGCTCTTTCTCTTTGCCATAGGGACGTTATAAAGAGAGAGTCTTATACTATTTCTACTATCTTGTGAGTGTGATCTTGTGTAGATCAACTATGAGGGAGTATGATCTAGTGAGATCAACTGTGTAGTGTGGGATCGTGAGAGGATCGCTGTGTAGACGAAGTTCCAGCTTCCAAACCGGGTTGTGTAGTAGATTTCTCCTCGAGAGTGGGGAGCGGGGACGTAGGTCAGCGGACCGAACCTCGTTAACACATCGCGCATCAAAGGATTATTGCATAATTATAGCCTCTTGACCCTAATCACCCCCCCTCTAGGGTCCAACAATTGGTATTAGAGCCTTGGTCTCTTTATTAGTTTTTGGTTTAACCGCCTTAGAGAAAAGATCTAATGGAGGCTTCTTTGAATATGCATATGTTAGAAGGACAATCCACCACTAGACCACCACTCTTCACCGGGAGTAACTTTTCTTATTGGAAGGCTAGGATGAGAATTTACCTTCGTTGCATTGATCTTGACATCCTAGAGATCATAGAAAAGAAATATGTAGAGAAGTCCAAAGTCGGGAACATGACCGATGGAGAAAGGCACCAAGCCAATCTCAATGCTAAGGCCATGAACACCTTAATTTGTGGTCTTTCCCCGATGAATACAATAGAGTTTCCACGTGTACAGCTGCATACGAAATTTGGGTAAAATTATGTATCACACATGAAGGAACCCCCCAAGTTAAAGAATCTAAGATTAGTGGGCTTATGCATGATTATGAGCTATTTAAAATGCTTCCTAATGAATCCATTGATGCTATGTTTTCCCGTTTTACTAATATCATCAATGAATTATATGGTCTTGACAAGCAATTGTCTATTCAAGAGATGAACTACAAGATACTTCGCTCTTTGACTCCGGCATGGGAGCCCAAAGCTACGGCCATTGAGGAAGCTCATGACCTTACTACTCTAGCTCTCGATAGCCTCATCGGAAAGCTCAAGGTCCATAAGAAGAAGCTCAAGGGGAAGGAGAAGGAGGAAGTGCCATCGCGGGAAGTTGAGGAGCCATCACCAAAGTTGAAGACCATAGCTCTCAAAGGAGCTAGTGATAAATCCTCTTCGTCATCGGATAGTGAAGTTGATTTTTCTAGAGAAGTGGCTCATCTCTCTAGAACAATCTCTAGACTCATAAAAATGAACAAGAAATTTAATCCCCGATCTAACAACAAATTTTCCTCACGTGTAGGTAAATGTTTTGAGTGCAATGAACCGGGCCACATCGCTAAGGATTGCCCCAAGCTTAAGGAGAAGTACATGAAGTACAAGAAGAAGAAGGCTATGTATGCTGGATGGGAAGAATCCGAACCAAGTGATTCAGATAGTAATGAAGAATGAGCCAAACTTGCTCTTCATGACCCAAATATTTGTTTCATGGCAAATGAACAAGAGGTAATATCCGAGACCAAAAGTGAATCTTTCTACATGCAATGTGACATAGCTACGGCTTTAGAAGAATTGAATTTTGAATTTAAGAGAATGTCTAAAAAATACTCTTCTTTTAAAAAGTTGCATGCTTCTTGTGATATTAAGCTAGAACAATTAACAACCTCTCTTGCACTAAAAGATGAATTGCTAGGAGATCTCAATTTTGAGAATAAGTAATTAATATCAAAGATTGAAAGACTAGAAATTGAGAGTGGTAGGACTAGACCCACTCATGCTTATGTTAATTATCATCATCATGGTAGAAATAGATTTCATGGTTCTGACACTCATACATACAAAAGAAATTTTGTGTGCACATATTATATGAAACATGGACACATTTCTACTCATTGTAGGATTAAAGACAACCATGATTTTTATGGAATGATATAGGTACCCAAAGGTACCAAGACTACTAACAACCAAGGACCCAAGACTTGGGTACCTAAAGCTACTACATCTTTATCTTCATCTTTTGTAGGGAACATCACGGCAACGACGTAAGGAGATGTGGTACCTTGATAGTGGTTGTTCATATCATATGACAGGCAACAAAGAGTTATTTGCAACCCTATCAAGGATTGAAGGAGGTAGTGCCTCCTTCGGTAGTGGTGAGAAAGGTAAAATCATTGGTGTTGGTTCTATTGGTAAGAAACCCTCACCCATTATAGAAGATGTTTATTTGGTAAATGGTTTGAATCATAATCTTCTTAGCATTAGCCAATTGAGAGATAAAGGTCTTGATATTTTTTTTAAACCGGATAAATACATCATTAGTATGAATGGAGAAATTGTTTTTATTGCTAATCACAAATCTAATGTATACATTTTTGAGATGAATGAACTAGTGAATCAAGATGTGAAGTGCCTTGCGGCAATTAATGAAAACCCTTGGATTTGGCATAAGAGACTTGAACATGCAAATATGGAGTTAATATCAAAATTGTCTACGAGAAATCTTGTAAAAGGGTTACCTAGCTTGCACTTCATCAAAGATACCATATGTGAGTATTGTGCCAAAGGTAAACAAACAAAATCTTCTTTCAAATCCATCAATGAGGTATCGACTTCTAAACCTTTGCAATTACTTCATCTTGATTTGTTTGGTCCTATGCGTGTTACCTCTCTTGGAGGCAAACACTATGTATTTATGATTATTCTTGCAAAAAAAAATAATTGTTTTGAAGAATTTGCTAATCATGTCAAAAGAATTGAAAATAAAAAAGATTTAAAAGTTGTTAAAATAAGAAGTGATCATGGTGGTGAATTTCAAAATGAATTTTTCTATGATTTTTGTGCTCATCATGGTATAACTCATATGTTTTCCGCTCCTAGAACACCATAACAAAATGATGTTGTTGAACGGAAAAATCGCACCATACAAGAGATGGTACGCACTATGCTAAACTCATTTGATTTGCCAAAATATTTTTGGGCGGAAGCCGTCAATACGGCTTACCATGTTTTAAATCGTGTTTTGATTAGACCAAAGCTTAAGAAAACTCCTTATGAAGTTTTTTATGGAAAAACTCCTTTTATTGGTTATTTTCGTATCTTTGGTTGCAAATGTT